TAAGTGCTTGAGTCTTTGCACCCGTGTGGGAGACCTGGAAGAACCTCCTGGCTTCTGGCTTCAGTTCCATCTAGCTCCAGCATTGTGGCTATTTGGGGCAGTGAACCAGTGGATGGAAGACTCTCTCTCTCTCTCTCCCTCCCTCCCTCCCTCCCTCCCTCTTCACTCTCTCTCTCTCCTACTCTCTCCTCCCAACTCTGTAATTCTACCTCTCAGATAAAATATAAAGTCTGTTTTAAATAAGAAATGTGTCTGTGATTTCTTCCCTTCTTACCCTTATTGACACATTGTCCTTAACACACTCCTATAAGTGTCTTTAAAAACATTCATTTCAGAGCAGGGGAAGAGAAAGAGAGAGAGAGAGAGGAAGAGGGAGAGAGAGAGAGAGGAAGAGGGAGAGGAAAAAGGAGAGGGAGAGGGGGAGAGAGAGAGAGGGAAAGAAATAGAGATCTCCCATCTTCTAGTACACAAAGGCCCCGACAGGGCCAGGCTGAGGCCAGGAGTCCAGGGCTCCATCCAATTTTCCCAGTGCAGTTGGAACTCTCCATCTCTTTTCAAGAGCGGGCAGGGTTGAGGGGTTGGGAGTTGGTGGGCTGAGGTCCCCACCAGTCCCAGTGACCTGGTGGTCATGCTGCCCGAGGAAGCCTCCATGGAGAGCCTGGAGAACCTGCTGGACACAGGAGGCGCTGGGAGGGTGGTGCTCCCCGGGGAGGGCAGAAGCCCCGCGCCTCTCCCCTCTGCAGGCTCGGCTGTGGACGCCTCTTTCTCTGCAGCGATCTTCATCATAAACTGGACAGGTAAGTGCTGCCCTGTGTTCTGTGAGCCCTTCTCACACAGGACTGACCTGAGGCAGGGAGGGCACGGGGACGCTGGGTATCGAGCCGGGTGGTCAGAAGCACAGGTCACTGCAGGGCACTTCCCGGGGTGGGGGGCTTGGACTGACCTGGTTCCCCCATCTTCTTCCTTGTGGTTCTCCAGGACAACTTCAGAACGTGCTAGAGTCCAGTGTCACGAGCTGGGAGGGCAGCCTTAGCCCATGGGCTGCAGTTAGTCCAGCATCAAGCAAAGATCAAGCCCAATGTGTCCTGATGTCCCAGGGTCCACACCCAGCAGAGCCTGCATTCTGGGTCCCTCACAGTGGTACAAGTGGAGTTTGTGCCCGTGAGACTGCATTGCCCTGGGCAGCTGTCCACAGCCTTGGCTGACGGGCTCACACTAGATCCTGGGCTCTGCTGTCCCGGGCGGACCTTGTAGGTGATCAGCAGCTGCATGTACCTCACTGCACGTGAGTGTGCGCCGTCTCCCCAGACACAGACAAGTTGGTGTGCAGCACAACGTGAACCTGCTCAATGTGACCCCCCCGGGCCCTTCCGCTGGCATCGGGCATGAGGGGAAGTCTGGGGGCCTCTGACGCCATCTCCAGGCAGACAGGGGAGGCGTCAGGCTGTAGGACCTTCTGTTGGTGTCCACTGGGAACACTGCTGCCTGGGGAAAGAACCCTGACCCCGCTGTCAGTGTGGTGAGGAGAGTGAGTGTGAGGATGCGGGGCAAACAGTGGATTTTCCTCACTCAGGAATCTTAGACCAGCCCAGGAGGGAGGTACAGGACGGACCTTTTACAGAGCAGTGCTGGGTAGGAGGAGTTCCCCAAGGCCTTCTTGGGTGCCAGGAGCAAGATGAATTCATTGTTGGTGTCTGGGGAGGCCCCCGGGCCAGCGTCACTTGGTCTTGTTGCACAGAGGACTAAGATGTGGGAGCTTCCCCCCAAACAGCCCCAAGTAACTAGGAGCCCAGTCTGAGAGAGCCAGAGGTCCCTCTCAAAGCTGTCAGCACAGGCCAGCACCACTGCAGAGCAGGTGTGGCTGGACAGCACTGCCCACAAGAGGGCGGCAGAGACCTGTCAGTCACAGGGGCTTCCCTGCTCAAAATGAGGCCTCTGAATTTAGTGCTCTGGACAACCTAGATGAGCAAGCCTAAACAGTGTCCTGGGGGGGAGGGGGATGGGGGGGCCCTGAGTTAAGGTGACTGCTGGGGCGTCTGCGTCTCATGTCAGGATGTAAGTTCCAGGCCTGGCCACTCTGCTCCGATCCAGCTTCCTGCCAAAGAGCCTGGGAGGCAGCAGCTGACAGCCTTGGCGAGGGCCCCTGCACCCTTGTGGGAGAGCTGGACAAGTTCCCAGATCCTGGCTCTGCCTGGTCCAGTTCTGTCTGCCTTTGGGGACTGAGGTAGCACATGGAATTTCTCTGTCTCTTCTTCTCTATCACATTGCTTCTCAGTTAAACAATCAATTCTCCAATGGAGAATCTGTTGCTGCCTCTTCCAGCTGCTGGAAGCTGCCACATGCCCTGGCTCTTTGACTTTCAGATCCAACTCTTGGCTCCTGTCAACCCCCTCCCTTTATTATTCCTATGGTTACATCCACCTGTTCTCCATTTGTGCGTTGATTTGTGCTAGTTGTTGCTCACTCTTGACAATTTTGGGTCCACTGTAAACAGCTTCTTGGTGGCTTCACATGTGTCCCCATGTGTCTGGGGAGCACCTGCCCCCACAGATGAACTCTGATGGAGTGAAACCTATCGATGTCTTCCCTGTGCTTGGCTCAGGTGGGGAGCAGGGTCTCATGGAGGCAGTAGAGGCAGGGCTCCCTGGGAGCAGTTTTGCTGCAGGACACAGAACAGTGTCCATTATGATAATGTAGTCACCAGTCCAATGTGGACTTGTGGCTACCCTAGCGTGCCCACGGTGGGTGCCGGGAGGCGAGCAATGTGCTCCACACCTGCCTTTCTCGTGTGGGGATGAGGGAGGTCCGGGCATGTGGTGATCAGCTCACCCCTGATGGCACCATCTTTCCTGGGGGCGGCCCTAGAAGGGCAGTGGGAAACAACAGGGCACTCAGCTCTCAATGCACTCTGGGAGGAGGGACCATCACCAGCCCTGTGGTTACCCTGGGAAGTGGGGAACCAGGAGCTCCTTATACCAACCCCACTCGTGCAGAAACATTTCAAGGTCTTGGGAACTGATGGAGCCATTCAATTTTAGAAAAGATCTCTCTCTCTCTCTCTCTCTCTCACTCTCTCTCTCTGTATCTATCTAGACTTGAAATTCAGAGTGACAGAGGGAAGGGGAGAAAAAATGAGAGATGGAAGAGCTGCTGAGATCCCCGGTGGCTGGTGGCCCTCTGGGCTCCCCAGAGCTGGAGGTCATTCTAGCTGGGCTCTCTACAGAGTCCCAAGGCTAGAGTGGCCTGCAGAGTAAGAATGGCCAGCAGGGAGGACCCAGGATGCCTGAACAGGGAGAGGCCGCACTGACCTCTGCACAGACAGATGCCAGAGACACAGAGGGCGACCATGTTCCCAGGGACTGACTGAGAGAGATTGTCAGTGGCGAACAAATGGACGGAGCAGACAGAACAGAACACAGACTCCATGGAGCAGTGAGGAGAGAGAACAGACACAGAGCTGCCAGCCACATGCTCCCAGTGCCCATTGTAGGGAGGGGTCCACACATGCAAATCAGTAACACGATATGTCACATCAACAAAATGGAGGATAAAAAATAAGATTATCTCAATAGATGAAGAGGAAGCATTTGATGAGACAGAACATTCTGTCATGGTGGACACCATAAAGATTGACTGGCTATAGAAGGCACACACTGCGACACACTCAAGGCAATAGTGAGCAAACACGTAGCCATCATCACATTGAATGGGAAAAAGATGGAAGTATTCCCATTAAGAGCCGGACCAGAAAAGGGTGCCCAGTTTCACCGTAATTATTCTATATAGTTCTAGACGTTTTACTCAGAGCCACTAGGCAAGGAAAAGGAATCAAAAGCATACGAAGTGGGAAGGAGGAGGTCCACCTTGTTGGGGATGGCATGCTCCTTACACACAGGCATGAAAAGACTCCACTGAGAGACTCTGGGAACTCATCAAAGAAGTTGTAAAGTTGCAGGATAGAACATAAAAATCTACAGCATTCTCACATACAGCTCTGGCTGAGAAAGAAATCTCATTAAATATACTCATTAAAAAAAACCCCAAGTACCTTGAGATAAATTTCACTAAGAATGGAAATGATCTCTAGAATGTAAATGAAAAATTATTAATGAAAGATATACAAGAACACACCAAAATGGAAAAATCTTCCTTGTTTTTGATTTGGGAAAATTAAACTATCCAAGGGATCACATTACTCAAGGCAATTTGCATATTCCACGTGATCTCAATGAAAATACCAAGGACATACATCACATATGTAAAAAGAAATCCAAAAATTAATATGGAAGCACAAATATCTCAAATAGACAAACCAATCTTTAATAACAAAATCAAAGCTGGAGGCATCACAGTACCAGATATCAAAACCTACTGCAGGGCTGTTATAAACTAAACAACCTGGTATTGGCTCAAAATAGACGTGTAGTCTAATTGAACAGAAGAGAATCCCCAGATAGTAATCCACTCATCTTTGACCAACTCATATTTGACAAAAGACCTAAATTCCTCCAAGAAAGGACACTTTTTCAGACGACGTTGGGAATATTGGGTTTCTACCTGCAGAAGTTTAAACAAGACTCGTATTTTGCACCCTGTACAAAAGTCAACTCACAGTGGATCCATGATCTAAGCCTAAGACCTGAAACCCTGAAATTCCTGAAGGAAAAGATAGGGGAAACACTGCAGGACACGGGTCTGGGCAAAGACTACTTGGAGAAGACCCCAGAAGCACAGGAAACCAAAGTGAACATGGGATGACCCTGAGCTAAGAAGTTTCTGCACAGCAAAGGAAACAACCAGCAAAGTGAAGAAGAAACCAACGACACGGGAGAAAATATTTACAAACTACGCATCCGATGAAGGGTTAACACCCAGAGTATATAAGGAACAGGAGAAACTCATCAAGGACAAAACAAGCAATCCAGTTAGGAAGTGGGCTCACTGCGGGAACTTTATTCAAACTTATGAGGCTTAAAGGCTGTTCTATAGAGAGCAGGGTTTGGTCTCAGGGCCCGACAGGGGCCAGAGGCGCAGGTGCACCTGGCTCCAGAACACCTGTCCTGGGCCTGCCCTCCTGACCAGAGCTGTGGAGACAGCACAGGACCCACCTCCAAGGGATCTGACAGTTGAGGGGACGAGGCCCTGCTGACCCGGGAGGGTGGCATTGTGACACTGCTGGTGGAACCCCGTGATGTCAGCATTCCTGGAATCCTCCTGCGTGGGTGGTGGCAGTTAGAGGCTGCTCGTGTCTGTGAGGGACTGACTCGTGTGCTTTCCTAGACAGGAGCAGACTCGGCAGAGGAGGACGGATTTGGGACAGAGGTGAGAGGGACAGTAACTGTGGAGGGACAGTGGCTCCCAGATGAGTGACGCCAGCTGAGCACTGCGCATTGCCTGCTGTGTGCTGAGTGCGGCTACTGTGGTCCCTGTCAGTGCTCCCATGATGGAGTGGGGTGGCTGTGAGGATGCCCTTAGTGTGGGTCTGTGCCAGCCCAGGTGTCCCCAGGGTGGGCATCCAGGTCAGCACTGAGCTCCCCACAGGGCACAGGTACCTGTTGTGGGCTCATCGGAGACTTGGGGCTCTGAACTGGGAGCCGGAGGAGACCTTCTGTTCTAGGGGTGTGTTTGGGCACAGTGGAGGGCAGCCCACACCACACGGGAGAGAAGGCTCCTTCAGTCAGTCTGGGGCAGAAGTCAGGGGCACCCCCTTCTCCCTCGTGTGTCATCCATGTCCACGACCTCTGGACTGACACCTTCCTGGTTCCTGAGAGTCAGGTGCCACCTGCCTGGCGGTGGCTTAGATGGGATGGACTTGAGTCCCAGGGAGGGGTGGTAGGAAGCAGCTCCCTGTGGTGCTTCTGGGCTCTGTCCTGTTTACAGTGTGTTCTTGCAGCTCAGACATGGAGGCTCTGGAGTTGCTGGAGGCCCGGCAGCGAGCCGTGACCATCACCAAGTATGAGCAGGTACAGGCCAGGCAGCTGCCATGGAGGAAGGGCCCTAGGACCTCGGCCGTGTCCATGGCAACAGCGGACTGGGCTTCCAAGGGCCATGGAGGGGTTGGGGCCCTCCCGCTCTCCCCAGCCCATGTACCCCCGGCTTCTCACCTGGGTGCCCTTCTGGCTGCAGGGTCGCCGAGGAGGGGTGCTGGTGATGCCTTGGGAGGAGGAGGACGAGGCCACCCGCCCATTCCCGGATCAGCTGGGCATCCTGCAGTGAGTCGGCACACCCCATGGCCACTCAGGGCAGCTTCTGTTCTCAGAGTGCCTGCTCTGGAGGCAGGGACCTGTCTCTACAGCCTGGGCTCTCCTTGTGTGATAGGAGCCTCAGGAGACACTGGGCAGGACAGGGCTGCCCGGGAGCTGGGAGGGGAGGGGCCCTGTCACTGGCAGAGAGGGTGTGGGCACAGGATGAGAGACCGGGGCTGCAGGGGCTCGGGGCCCCCAGAGAGCAGCCTCCTTGGCAGGGCCCGAGGGGTAGCTGGGCTGAGGGCCGAGCCCCTGGCTGGGGTCTGAGGAAGGGACTGCGCAGGGAGGGTTTTCAGCAAAGGCGCTCTGGCCTAAGTCTGAGCCGGGGAGCTGGGGACAGGGGAGGAGGTACTAGGCCTTCATCCTGTGCCCCAGGTGTCCTGGGACATGGAAGAGGGTGAGTTTGTGTTGCGGCCTGAGCAGCCTGAGATCAGGAGAGGCAGGTGGCAGAGGGCAAGCCCACGGCCGGGTAGGGTGTCGGGGAGTAGGCACCATGACAGCCCTGCCAGCACTGGGCAGATTTCAGGCCAGGTCGTGGGCTGGTCGGTGGTTCTGCCATTTCTTGACACTGGCTCTCACGGGTGCCCAGTCCTCCGCTCCCAGGCAGCCTTCCTGTCTCAGGACTGTGGATTCTCAGATCCTGCACAGGGCCCGGTCTCTGCCCAGGAGGGAGCTCCCATAGCAGAGCCGCATTGCGATACCCGGGACCTTGCGGGCCCAGTGCTCCCCACATTCCGAGGTCCCATCCTCCCAGGGGTGTCCATGGGCAGGACGGCTGCCTCGTGCCTTCTCTTTGATCTCTTGGTCTAAGTCTTGGGGCTTGGGCCTGGGTTGTCCCTTCCCTGGCCTGGCGTGGGCGGTGGAGAGGCTCGGGCCTGGCTCAGGTCCTCATGGCTGTGCCTCCGTTGCCTCCCAGTGAGAAGCGGTTGCCCCGGGACAGCGCCTGGATCACCAAGGTGAAAGCTATCTGTGGAGACTGCAGGGGTGGGGCTGGGAGGATCCCCCAGGGCCTGGTGTCTTGGGTGGTGGTGAGCGGCAGAACCCAAAGTCACCCAGAGTCAGGAACTCTAGGGCTACCCCACCACATCCTCCCGCCCTAAAGGACATGCAGCCACGGGACCCTGCCCACAGCCACGGGACATCTGGAGGGTTGGACAGTGGGGGTGTCCGTCCTCAGTGTGGCTTCTGTGGAGGCAGCCACAGGTCACTGGTTCTGACCCACTCAGAGGGTCTGGGCCCAGGTCTGGGCCCCCTGTGGGTCCATGCGGTTCAGAGAGGTCAGGCTGGGCGCTGCCTCCGAGGGCCGCTCTCCAAGACCCAGATCTGTGCTGACAACAAAGTCGCTGTCTTCCTGCAGAATCGGCAGAACCGAAGCCTCCAAAAATGGCTGAAAATTCTGAAGAATTGGCAGAATTATCAGAACACTCAGAAGGTGGCGTGGCGGCTGAGGAGCTGTGGGGAACTTCTCTGCCCCTTGGGAGTTCATCACCCCCGTTTGTGGGAGCACTCGGTTTTCTCCAAGTCTGCTGGCTGCCCACGGTCCCTAACTCCAAGGACACAGGCCTTGGCTCAGCCTCCTGTCTCCCATTCAAGGTCCCTGCTGGGAGACAACTGATGGCAGGATTGGCCACCCCCTGGCCGAGGGAAGGGAGGCCATGGCTGAGATCCATGTTCCCTGATCCCAGACCACCTCTGTCCCTGGGGATTGACCCGAGCCCTCCCAGGACAGCAGGCACCCAGGCCCCCCTCCTGCTGCAGCCTCTGCCCCCAGCCTGCCCAGGGTGCCCTGTGCCTGGCTCACCAGAGCCCTTCCTTCCTGCAGCTGCGCCGCCGGATTTACAAGGGTGTCCCTGCCCAGGTGCGGGGGAAGGTGTGGGGCCTGCTCCTCGGGGTGGACGCGGTGAAGGCGGAGAACCCCGGGGCCTATCAGGTAGGGCGATAGGCTTGGGGCCAGAAATGTCACTCCCTGGCCAGGTGGGTCCAGAGCTCAGTGCATGGTTGGCATAGCCTGGAATGGGAAGAGGCCTCCTTTGGGCACTGTGTGCTCCTGTTCCTCTCTGGATGGTCCCTCTGGCCTTGTTCAGCATTGTCCACTTGTGACTGCCCCTGCCCCGTCACCATGTCCTGGCAGTGTCCCCATTGGGAGGTTGTATGCAGCTTGTCCTGGGCGGGCCCATGGCTTACACTGGTCCCCTGGAGCAGAGAACCTCATGCCTGCCCATCAGCTGAGGGTGGTCCTCAGGGGACCCCTTGGCAGGGCTCTGGATCTCATGGGTGACACGGGCACCATGGTCAGCTGACACCAGGGACCTCCCTGGTCAAGGACTCAGGGACCTGAGCCTCCTGGTCCACAAACTCTCCTTCAGCCCCTGCTGGACCCTGGGGTCTGTGGGCACTGGGGTGGTAGAGGCGGGGGCTCTGTGCTGAGGCTGGCCCCGCCCTCCTCCCGCCCTCCAGAAGCTGAAGGCGCAGGGCCGACTGCGGTCACAGTGGGTGCAGCAGATCGATGTGGCCGTGAGCAAGACCTTCAGGGGACACGTCATGTTCCGGGAGCGATTCGGAGTCAAGTGAGGCCATGGGCAGTTTGTGACTGAGGAGGGATTCTGTGGGAACCAGTGCCGTGGAGAATTGGGAGTGTCCTAGGTGAGATGTGTGGGGTTCCTGGAAGTTTTGGGGCCCACAGTAGGTGCTGAGGCTGACTCGTGAAGGATCAGCCAGCACCGGGCCTTGAGCAGCTGCTGGGTGCCAGGTGCTGGTTGGAGACCTGGGCAGGTGGGGCCATAACACAGGAAGCTCCAGAGGACAGGGACAGCAGCAGAGACAGCCCAGGGACAGGAGCCAGGACCCTGGAGGCCAGAGTGGCCTGGGCCGGGACCAGCCCCTGAGTTCCACCGCAGGCCAATTGCTGAGGGTGACCTGGAGCTGGCTGTGGGCGTGTGGGGTGGGTGGGTAGGAAGGAGCCCTGGGCTGTGACCAGGGTGAGAGGTGTGCACAGCACTGGCTGGGGTGCAGAGAAGGGGTGGGGACACAGAGCTGAGCTCACGGCCTCTCAGGAATCTCGCCAACCCTCCCTCCTCTCGTCCCCAGGCAGCAGGCCCTGTTTCACCTGCTCTTGGCCTACTCCGTTTATGACCCTGTGAGTATCTGCAAGGTGCAATCAGGGAGCTGGGGGTGAGGGGGCTGTGTGATGTCAGCTGGGCCTGCAAGGGGTGGGGCGCAGAGACTGCTGCCCTGGGGTGCCCAGTTCTGGGAGCAAGAACTGACACGGGTCAGCCAGGCGGTGTGGCTCCATGGTGACTTTGGGCTCTTGCAGGAGGTGAGCTACAGCCCGGGCCTGAACCAGGTGGCCGCCCTGCTCCTCATCTTCTTAGATGAAGAAGATGCCTTCTGGGCCCTGGCGCAGCTCATGGCCAACGACAGGCATGCGATGCAGGGTAGGTGCTGGCTGGACCAGCCCCCAGCAGCCAGGCTGGAGCTGCCACCACGGCCGGCTCACCAGCTGCCCCCACATCTGCGTGTCCACAACAACCTCCCTTTGGAGAGTCTGAATGTGGGGCTGGGGGCCCCCACTCAGCCTGAGGCCCTGGGTCTCTCCATCAGCCGGGGCCCCACAGCCTCTCCATGGCTGCCTCTGCATCCCGCACCCCAGCCCTTGGGTGCGTCCTGGTCCAAATGCCTGCTGGTCCTGCTGCTTTGCGCCATGGCCGCTCCCAGCCCTCACTCAACACAGCTGGAGGATGCCCAGACGGTGGCCTCCCTTACGGGGTCCGCTCGACCTAATCCTTGTACCCAAGATCCGACCAGGCCCCCACCAGCTGCTCACCCATTATTCTGGTTGAATTCTGTTCAGTCCGGTCTGGACCCCAGGGCCACCCACCTGTAGCCTTCTTCCACCTTCATCCTGTCCCCCCACAGGGGGGATTCTACTGCCCACGCCAGAGCCTTCACATGCCCCCACCCAGCCTACAGCCTCTATGCCGCCCCCTGACAGCCCCAGTGCTGCCTGCAGGCTCTGATTCCCCGAGGGGGGTCTGGGCCTCTCAGGGTTCTATAAAGCCGGGCAGCCCAAGCTGGCGCGTCTGCAGCAGCATCACGAGACCATCCTGAAGCTGGCGCTCCCCACACTCAAGAGCCACCTGGTGAGTGGTGTGGCCCCTGGAACCTCCAAGGGGGGGCTCTGGAGCAGGGTCTGAGCTGTCCCTGGCACGGGGTGGAGCCAAGGCCTGACCAGGGGCCGTCTTGGTGGGAGGGGTCTGCAGCAGGTTTCTGCAGGGAGGACTCATTGTCCTTCTCCTGCTCACACCGAGCATCCCGGGGCACAGTCACCAGGGGCCAGCAGGTGTCGCCTGTGCCCACACACCCAGCACTGCGCTGGTTGAAGAGCCGCCCCTCCATTGGAGTATCCTCTCTGGGCAGGACTCGGACAGGCCCTGAGCCCCTCTCTCCCTTCCTGTAGGACAGCCAGGGTGTGGCCACCAGGACCTACATTCCCAAGTGGTTCAAAGGCTGCTTCACTGACGGGGTAAGGTGCCCAGGGACACCTGTACCCGGGAAGGTGTGCCCACAGGGCCGGGTGGCAGGCCAGCGGTCATGCTGCCAGTCCTCCTCACCCCTTCTCCCCAGTGCACTGTGTCCCCGAGGGGCCTGCAGCCCCTGGCAGGTGCCCCACATCCCCACTGGGACAAGTCCAGCCCTTGAGCAGTGGCAGGACCTCAACTGGGGCAGCCTCACCGGGGTCTCACCCTGGGCAGGGGTACCTGTGCTGCCCTCTGCTCCCTGCTCAGCCTGCACGGCCGCATCCTCACACCCCTGCTGCCCCCACAGATTCCCTTCGCAGTGACCCTCAGGTTCTGGGACATTTACATTCTGGAGGGCGAGCCCGTGCTGACGGCCATGTCCTACATGGCTCTCAAGATCCACAAGAGTGAGTCCCCTGGGGCCATGGAGGGTGGGGTGCTGGGCTGGGGGGTGGGGGATCCTGCTCAGTCCCTGGAGCATGGACTGAGGGAGAGCAGGAGTGGCTGCCTGGGCCCCGTGCTTGAACCTGGTGTTAGTGTACCCCAGGAATGCCCTCGCAAGGCCCTGCCCCTTGGCTGGGTGGACAGGGTACCTCACATGTGAGTCTCAGCCTTACCCCAGGTGGGGACTTTGCAGATCCAGTGGCTACCTGGGTGTGTGGACAGGGAGTGGAGAGTCCGTGTGTGCTGTTCCTGCCCTGGGCGCCTCCAAGCCAGACACCCCCACTGTCCCCCACCCCATGTAGGCCGCCTCCTGCAGCTGTCCCAGGACACCCTCAGTGCGTTCCTCCAGGACCAGCTGAGCCAGGCCTGGGCCCTGGACGAGCATGTCGTGGGGAGGCAGCTCCAGGCCTCCCAGTCGAAGCTCCGCAAGCTCCGCTGCCTGCTGCCTCCTCCAGGTGGGCCCCCTTGCATGCTCCCCATCCCCCCTGGGAGTCAGGAGTGGGCGCGCCAGGTACCCAGGACCTGCCCTGGGCTTTCCTCCTCCATGTCATCTGCTCCAAGCGGCTTTCACACATCCTGGCCAATGGAACTTCAAGGTGGGTGCCCAAACCCGGGTGCCCGAATACCTGGCAGGCGAGTCCCTGTCATTGCCACAGCAGCGCCCGTGGTGTGTGTCAGGACTCTTAGGTGACAGGTGGGTCAGGTGACAGAATGACCTCATGGGAGTTTGTCGAGACCCAGGTTTCTGGGATGACTGTGTCAGACACGGAGCCCAGAGCCAGCCCTGCCATGGGGTCCATCCCAGCATCCTGGGTCCCCTCACATCTCCCCCACCCAGGTGCCCACACCTTTCCCTGGGCAGCAGCAGCCAGGCGTCCTCAGGACCAGGCCAGGGGCCAGGCAGTACCTTGAGAGCCCCAGGGCCCCAGCTCCAGCCCAGCCTGGGCATCACTGGCCTCTGCGAGTAGCCGACCACCTCTCCTTGCCTTTCAGCACTTCCAGAGGAGCTGCCCAGTGGTCCCCTTGGCCGGACGCTGGAGGCCGTGGAGCCAGGGCCGCTCCCCACACCAGGGAGGCCCGAGGTGCTGGGAGATGAGGCCGCAGTGGGTCTCCCTGCTGATCCCACCCTGCCCCAGGAGTTCCGGGGCTCAGCACCCTGCTGCCAGGCTGTGGGAGGAGTCGAGTGCTCCATCCCTGAGGCCACGTGGGAGCCAGAGACATGGAAGACACAGGAGGCCTCCCCAGAGCCTGGGGTCCCAGGCCTCCTGCAAGGGTCCCTGGAGTGTCTGGGTGCCGCCTCTGTCACTCCCACCGCCCACAACCCTGGGAAGCAGCAGAGCCTGTCAGCACCGGCGTCCCTGCCTGACCTGGTGGAGTACATGCTGGCTGCAGACCGCTGGCCCCCACAGCGCCACATCCTCCAGGCACTCTTAGAGCCCGGCAAACCCACCACGGCCTCCCTGGGAATCCGAGGACAGGGCCAGCCCTGTGGGTCCACGGAGCCTCCCTGCCCTCCCCCGACGAAGGTGCTAGAAGTTTCCATGCTGGAAGACTGGGAACATGAAGAGGACTCCCCCGACGCCTGGGCCTCCAGCCTCTCCCTGGGCTCCTCCGAGTTCTCCCGCCCTGCGGAACGAGCAGGGGACAAGCAAGGGCTGTCGGGCTGGGGCTCCCTCCCTGACCTGGTGGTCTACATGCTGGCCGCAGACCGCTGGCCTCCAGATAGCGACATCCTGCAGGCACTCTTAGACCCCTGCAAGGCCACTCTGGTTCCCCTCTGGACCAAGGGCCTGGGGGAGCCCCGAGACACTGTCTCCACTCCAGGGAGCTTTGATTCAGAAGCCTTCTGCTGCGGGCCCTTCTCGAGCGATGAGGAGTGGGGTGACGAGGAGTGCTCCCTGGAGCCCTGGGAGCCAGACCTGTCCCTCGGGGCATCAGAGCCTCTGTGCTCAGTCCACATCTCAGGGGATGACCTCCGCATGGCACAAGGAGCTGGCTTTCCTAAGCCTAGGGAGTCCTTGCCAGCTGGAGACCCTGGAACCCTAGAGAACAAAACCAAGTAGAACTGTGAGCCCCGCCCCTTCTGCCCTGGCCCCTGTTACACCAGCCCCACCTGTGTCCCCCAGAACTTGAGACAGGCCTGAGGACCCCTGCCCTGTGGCCCCTGCAGACCATGCACTCAGGCAGTGGTGGGTTGAGCATCCCTAGGGCCAGGCCCATGGTGGGTTCATGACCCCGAGTGCTGGCAGAGCCTGGTGGCCTCCTCCATGGTGAGGCTGTCACACTGAGGCCATGCAGGGAAATATGGGACCAACATCACCACCCTGCAAGTCAATGGACCCTGCCTACACCGTGTCCTTCTTATTGACAAGGGTCCTTCACTGCTTGGGTCCCTGATCCTTAGCAGCCTCCCCTGGCCTCTCCTGGGTCCAAAGTCAGGGTGCCATGTATGCTTTGTGCCCCCTACCCAGTAGCTGAGGTCAAGAGTAATCTATCCTGTCCATGGTTGCTCTCCGCTGAGCAGGGCTTGCATCCAGCACCCATCCCTCCTCTTAGAACATTCTCTGACTCCCTGGGGTCTGGGCATGCACTGAATCACCAATTTGGTGGCCTGTGGTGGCAGCGAGACTGTGTGGCCAACACATTGTGGAGATGGCTAAACCAGAGCTGCTGGTTGCCGTCAAACTCATAGGAATGCCCCAGGGTTCCCCCTGCCCGTTACTGATGGAAATAGAATAAAGAGTTTGTTTCTGAAGCATTTGGTCCATTCTTGTGGCCCTCAAGGCCTGTCTGCAGAGGTTCCCAATGGACTTCGTGCATGGCAACAGAAACTGTAGTTCCCAATCTCAGCCAGAGGCCTGTTTCCCAGCCATCCAGTGACACCTGAGGGTCCCCATGTCCCATGGCCTTTGACATTGTGCACAGCACTGTGTGAGGTGTGAGGTCACCTCAGGCCCCCATCCTGGGCTGGTGAGGTCCAGCGTTCCTTCCCCTCCATAGGTCCATCTCCTCCCTGCCTTTCTTCTCCCTCCTCCATGAATCCAGTCCTCCAGACCTGAAACTGGGACTGGCCAGAGAGGCCTCCAAAGAATACAGACATGGGAGCAATAGGTCAGTCACCTGAGAAAGTCAAGTAGCATTGGTGTCCCCTCATGGTGGCCCTGGACTTCGACCCTGGGGGCTAAGTGCAGACACCTGCTGCCTAGCCAGGTGGCACTCTCCTGTTGGGGTCAGCCTCCATTCTTCGGCAGCCTCATCTGGGGCACGGGCGTGCTCTTCAGACAGGGGAACAGGGTAAGGGCACACGTTCGTGCTCTAGGAATGAGCCGGGAGACCATCCCCTGGGTGGGGTCCCTGCCTGGGCTCTGGCTGCCCACTGGCCCTTGACCTCCCAACTTCACCAGCTCCTTCTTCAACTCTCTGCCTCACAAAAGGGAGCTGAACCCAGCTCACCTTATGGCCTCAGCGCCACCCTGGTGGTTCAGGTTCACTCCTAAGCGTGTGTCTGGAAGGACCAGGACCTTCCAGGATCCAGGTGTGGCAAAGGCTGGACTACATGTGTGTATAGATATGAGCTTCCTACCCTCCCACCCTGCTCCATCTTGGTCACCAGCCTCACCCATTCCGAGCAAAGTTGGCCCAGAATTTCATCACCATTTGGCTGAGTTGGATCGCCTCTTCTGAAGCACCCTCTGGGGACATCAAAGACAAGTCTTTGCTATTGAACATGTAGTCCATGAGCCAGCAGCATCCACACCACTTGGGAGCTTGTTAGAAATACACTCTTATGGCCAGCACTGTGGCTCACTAGGCTAATCCTCTGACTGAGGTTCCAGCACCCCGATTCTTGTCCCAGTCGGGGAGCCTGATTCTGTCCTGGTCGCTCCTCTTCCAGTTCCTCTCTCTGCTGTGGCCCGGGGGAGGCAGTGGAGGATGGCCCAGGTCCTTGGGCCCTGCACTAGCATGGGAGATCGGGAGGAAGCACCTGGCTCCTGGCTTTGGATTGGCGCAGTGCACCGTCCACAACGCACCGGCCATAGCGGCCACTTGGGGGTGAACCAACGGAAAAAGGAAGACCTTTCTCTCTGTCTCTCTGTCTCTCTCTCATGTCTAACCCTGCCTGTCAAAAAAAATGTACTCTTAGCCCTTATTCCACACCTAGTGAGCAAACACCTGTATTTAGCAAGATCCTCATGGGGGGGGGGCAGAGAGAGAGAGAGAGAGAGAGAAAGAGAGGAGAGAGAGAGAAATCCTCCATCTTCTGGTTCACTCCCCAAGGGCACATGACTAGAGATGCAACAATTCGAAGCAGCGAACCAGGAGCTACTTTTGGGTCTCCCATGGGGGCACAGGGGCCAAAAGTCTAGGGCAACCTTATACTGCTTTCCCTGGCCATAGCAGAGAGCTGGATCTGAAGTGAAGCAGTTGGGACTCAAACTGGTACCCATATAGGATGCTGGCACTGCAGGCAGTGGCTTTACCCACTGTGCTAAACATGCCTTAACTCCCAGGCCAGACACACACCCTCAGAAAAACACTCTCAATACAAGCCAGGAAAGAGATGGCTACATCCATAGACAGGAGGTATTGTTAATATCAATGCAGTTAACACTCTTGTATGTTTAAAGGCTGAAAGGGAGTGGGTGATGGCCTGAGGGCCAGCTCGGAGAAGTCCACATCAGCAGCTCTCAGGAAGTTTAGAGCAGAACACAGACGAGGCTTCTGCTGAACACCGGAGATCCCGGCACTGGAGATAGGCAAGTTCATGGCAGCCCAGTTCTCTGGGCACAATCCTGAAGTTCCTCTGTTGGAGCCCCTGGGTTTCTGCACGGCCACCCGAAGCCCATCATTGGCCCTAAGCCCCGGTAGCTCAGCATCCTGAGTGTGTGTGCTTGTTTGCGTTCGGTGGTGGCACCTGCCAGATTGGACAAGGGAAGGCATCCCAATCAACCCACCTCTACAACCTCTCTCTTCTCTGCCCTGCAGAAGAGGGCACCTCAGCATCCTTGGAGGAAGCGGGTTAAGATAGAACGCGGTCCGTCTCCACCAGGTGGCAGCACCACGCTCCTGCTGCCAAGCAGAGGCTGAAGGAAGCAGAGAGCACTGGGGTTTCTGCTCTCTGGACACTGCTCAGGGCCCGTGGACACTCCTGAGCCAGGGTTGGAAAGAAGTTCCTGTCTGGAAGGTGTGGGGAGCAACCCGGACTAGACTAAGTTACTGGAATTAAGACTTATTCTGTGCATCTGCTCTCCCACAATATGGCAATGAGAAGGGAAGCAGCTTCTACACAGCTGCCTCCAGTTCAACCAATAAACTGTAGGACCTGCTCCTGATTGCAGGAGAGCAGCGTGCTCGGCATGTGGGCAGCCGAGTTGGGATTTGCGGAGGAGGACTATAAAGGAGGAGAGAGACGGCATGCACGAGGAACATCTAAGGGGAACATCTCTCCGAATAACACCTGTGCAGCCCCCGAGAGAGCTGGCCGGCAGTGTGCCGCTCCCCCGCGGAAGTGGGGAATGTGGCAGGGGGAACCACCCTTCCACGGAGGTGGAAGGGACGGCAGCCAACCCAGGAAGAACCAGCAGCAAACCCGGGAAGGGCCGAGCAGACGAAAGAACAGCGCAGGGTCCTGTGTCGTTCCTCCACGAAGAGGGGGAGCGACAGAAGGAAAGGTCAGGGTTGTGTCTTATCTTGGTGAGTCATCCGTCCAAACCCTAGCACCACCAAGTACGAGGAAGGAACTAGCAAACACAAACAGGGAGACTGCATCCCCAAGGATGAAGTGTGAAATAATAAGAAATGTACAAGGCCAGTGCTGTGCTGTAGAGGGCTAAGCTTCTCCAGCCTCACTGACATCCCATATGGCTCGGGTTCGTGTCCCGGCTGCTCCTCTTCTGACCCAGCTCTCTGCTATGGCCTGGGAAAGCACTAGAAGATAGCACAAGTGCTTGGGTCCCAGCACCTGTGTAGGAGACCTAGAATAAGCTCCTGGTTCCTGACTTCAGATCTGTCCATCTCCAACCATTGTGGCCATCTGGGGGAGTGAACCAGTAGGTGGAAGACCTCTCTCTTTCTCTCCCTC